ACCCCCCCAACTATCCTTTTATTCTGGCCCCCAATTACCTCTTAATGAAGAAATATTAGAGCCCGTTAAGGGGTACTTGGGGGGGTCCTGGTGAGCCCAGAGCCTCGAAGGGCTACGACATGTTGGCAGCTGGCCTTCCCTCTCCGGTTCATCGTGCCGAGGAGTTTGTCTTGGCTTTGTTCCAAGTCTTTTGACATTTTATGTTTTGGGGTTTAGGGGTTTGGGGATAGGGTTCAGGGTTTAGGGGTGCCTGTTGGGCTAGGGCGGCTAGGGTACGAACATCGGTTTGGGGTTCAGCGCTTGCTTACGCCGCAACAGCATCGGATGAAATTTGGGTCAATGAATAAGTAAAGCCTTAAACCTAGAAACCCTGAACCCAACTTGGCACCCCATGCGCAGAAACATGGCTTTCGCTATTACGATTGAAAAGCTATGGCGCATAACGGCTGCAAGCTGTTCGAGTTGCAGGCTTTGGAGCGGAGTTTAGGGTTTAGGGTGGTTGACAAGTTTGATTTTGGGGCTTGGGTTCCTGGGTGCATTGGGGGTTGCCCTAAACACTAAACCCCAGCCATTCAACCCCAACCCAAAGGGTCCTGTGTACTGTTATGGGGGATACTTCCCAAAATCATAATAAAAGATCCCCAATACAGAAACCCTACATTCTACTATAAAGGTACTTTGGACCCTTTGGGTAAACTCTGTTTCCTTGTCAGGGCCGCAGATGGACAAACAAACAGGCATACCTATGGTCTCCATTGTAGTTCCTTTTTATGGTTAACCAAAATCTCTATTCTAGGATCCTAACCATAAAAAACTGGTTAACCAAAAAAGGGAACTACAATGGAGACTATGTATAGGGCCTTGGACAGGTAGGAACAGGGTTTCGGGGCACAGTGTAGTATAGTCATACCAAGGACCCGAGGGAATAGTATCGGTAACTAGGACCTAGAGTAGGCCCCTATTCCCTTATTTAGGCTTCAGGTTCCCTTATAAGCCCCTTAAGCCAAAAGGGGCACCCTTTTTATTCCTAGGTTACTCTTGGGTATCGGTAATTAGTCAGGCTGATGCTCCGCTTCATTGACATCTATACGGCTGCTAGAACCTTTGGACCCCCGGTCAGGCCCAAACAGCCCTTTTGAACCAAGACCTTGCGAACCGAGATCAAGCATGAAAAGATTCGGACCCCATTTACCGATTCTAGGATGCCCAGTAGTACCCTTATTCCCTTTTTGTAGTCCTAGGTTCCTTATAAAGTTACCCAATACCAAAAAGAGAGGCCTTTTTATTCTTAGGTTACTGGGTATCCTAGACCCTGAGTTCCTACAACCGCCACCTCTGAAGCTTGATCCTCTGCTCCTTGAGGTCTATAGAGGTCAGTCTTTAGATCGGCATGTTAGCCTTGGAGTCTAGGGTTTAGGGCTTAGGGTTTGGAGGAAGACTGCTGCCGAACGCCGCGGGAACCGAACATGACGCCGAGCAGCAGTGTCAGCACTGCGTGCCTCGGGCTTGAAGCTTATTAATGTTTGGGCGGACGAATCCGCTTGATGGGTTCATTGCAGACTTTTTTGTGGTCGCAGGTCGTGCTTCTGGAAGACAGCGGCCTGAAGAAATTGTGCCCTATGGGTTGGTCCTGAGCCTTCGTAGGGCAGACTTCAGTGCTAGAGAAGAGGCCCGTGGGTTCAAGCGAGTTTTGGGATGAGAGTGTGCAGTCACCATGGTTTAAGGCCCGGTTTTGGGAAGCCCTAAACCCTAAACCCCTAGACCCCTAAACCCTAAACCCTTGTTCTTCAATACATCCTGAGTATTGCTACTGGAATTCAGCCGGCGCAACGAATCCGAAGCTCCGATCCCCAAAACCTAAATGGGAGTAGGGTTTAGGGTTTAGGGTTTCCGAAAATCAGGGGACCTTATGTTGGGTCCTTATGACAAGGATCATACGATTACTAGGGTAGTATATTGGGATCCCCTATTTCGGAAACTCCCAGATGCTCATTCGCAGCATGCTATCTGTAATACTCCGAGCCATGACAAGCAACAGCGATCACAGATCCGGAGAAGGAGATCTAACTACATAGCAGGAATCGTTAGACCACTAACCCTAAACCCCTAAGCCCTAAATCCGAAGTCCTTGAACTATCAAGCGAAGCCCCTCCACCTTGCGCCTCGAAATCCCTAGATGCAAGTCATCAGTAGACCCGCCTTGCAGGTGCCCAGAGCCCCGCCGGCGCTGGTCGGACCTTCTGGCGGATGCTGAGGCCCATAGTTTCGAGAAGTAATTCCTATAGAACCATGCTTGTACTCTTCAGGAGCCCTTGAAAGTAATGTTTACCTATAGTGTCCATTGTAGTTCCTTTTTTTGGTTAATCAATATCTCTATTTTAGGATCCGAATCCTAACCATAAAACTGGTTAACCAAACACAGGAACTACAATGGAGACTATATATATATATATATATATATATATATAGGTACTTGTCTAAAGCTTCACGCCGATGCGAGCCAGGTTATTCTGTGGTGAAGGGCGTCTGATTGATTGAGACATAATTAATAGGGAAGTCGCAGCCGAACGTTTGGGATGCATTGTAAAGGATGTAAGATTTGAGTCTTAAGTTGAAGGCCATGAGCACCTGGCAAATCTTATTGTGCACATGTCTGATGGGTAATGCTGGTGCCCGACGAGTTTTTCTTCTTGCCAGAAAGACCCTCGAATGAGGTACCGTACCCGAAATTGTCACACTGGGGCTCAAAATAGCCCATAGTAGGTACTACTTCTAGATTTTAGACCCCAAAGTAGGTTTGTTTGTATACTGAGTTTCCTAGGGTTAGGAGCCCAGGATATTGAAGCTTCTTCATTGGGTACTGCCCCCACTCAGTAACAGTTGGGTAATATTCATAATATAGATATATAAGGCCCTCAATAGTAGCCCTGTTATAGGCTGGTACTGTATGGGGGCCGTACCCAACTTCTTCTTGCCTTTGGTTAATAGGGACTGGAAGAATGGTAGTAATAGCAGTTATAATTCTACCCCATTCCTCCATTCCCTACTATATACCCTAAACCCTAAACCCTAAACCCCAAGGTAAGTCTTCAGGAAGTACCGGCCTTCTCTGTGGCGTAGCTTTGGATGTGAAGCCAGCACTTCAGGAATGGGCCTTTCTTAGCACTTCTTTCAGGCCACAATACTTGCAGCTGCTTTGAATCCCAAAGAACTCGAGCTTCTTGGAACAAGGCAACGGTGTGATACTAAGCTGTTGCGCCGATTCTAGCGCTTGTAACCCTATTCAGAACCCTTGGGCATCCATGAGCTCAGTCCCGGCCCAAGCTAGAGCTTGCTTTCAGTTAGGCCCTTGGATGAGGATCAAACTACCGTAGTTATTGGTAGTGGAGTACAGGGCCGTGGGAAGATGTTCCCTTTTAGGCTCTTGTCTGAAGAAGCCACCAAGGACACGCTAATTAAGTTAGAACCCCCTCAAGCCGCAAGGTAGGCCCCGTAGCTCCCCACAGCCATATGAACGTTGCGTAGGCTGAACCCTACAACCCCATGCTTGAGCCGCCAGTGCGCTTGAAGTTTCACGGCTCAACGTCCGTCGCTGTAGTCTGGGTGCTGTGCCCGCCTGCGACCGTTTCTTGCGCAGAGGCCGGGGGCTATACAGTCCTTTTTGGCCTTCTTAAGCGGCTATTGAGTGTGTCATAGTCACCGTTTGGGGATTTCTTTCTTTGACTTATAGAACCACAACCCTCATCGGCAAAGCCCGAAGGCATGGAGCGTTCGCTATAGATCCTGGGAGCTTGAGGCCTTAAGTGCGTGAGGCTTTGTCGTTTAGGGTTTGGGGTTTAGGGTTTCGAGTTTGAGGTTTGCGGTTCAGGGTTTGGGGTGTGTCAAGAGTTGTTTGGGCCCTGCTTCTGAATCAGGACAATCGTCTCATGTGGTGTTTGTCCTGTGAAGCGAATGGCGAGTTCAGTGCTGGGACCAGGCGGCACAATGTGATTTGAATCCGGAGCCCCATAAACCGCGACCTAGATGGACGTGAAACTCCAAATTAGCCATATCCCCATTTACACAAAAAAATAGACCCTCAGAGCCCATTGAGGCTGCTATGTCCCCTTACAGTCCCAATGTAATTCTAGTACGATAGAACCCCAAGAAGACTGCGCCCCACCCCCTCCCCGAACCTATTACCAAACCCTAAAATCCCCAAACCCAAAACCCTGTTCGATTCAGAATCTAAAACCCTGGACCCCAAAACCCAGAGCCCTAAACCGCAAAGCCCCTGTAGCCCCAGAATCTTTCTACTCTACCTATAATCTCCATTGTAGTTCCTTTTGTTGGTTAACCAAAATCTCTATTATAGGATCCTAATCCTAACCATAAAGCTGGTTAACCAAATGAGGAACTACAGTGGAGGCTATAGGTAAGGTTAAGCCCTAAACCCGAAGTCCCCAAAGAGCCTTTGGTCTCACAAAGTCGAGGGTGTAGGGTTCCATAATCGAGTCCCCGTTAAAAGGATACTATAGGATTCTATAGGGTTTGGGCGATTTAGGGTTTAGGGCTATCGTTTAGGGTTGATTATCGAGAATGCTAAAACGAAGGTTGGGCCATGCCAAGTCCGGAAGGGGTTTTGATTTTGGGTTTTGGGGTGTTTGGGAGTGTTAGGGTTTTGGTATTTACAAGGGGTCTGAATATCGGTGTAGGGTCTCCGCAAACTCTTACAATTCAAGAGCCCTAGCCAAACGAAAAATGTTGCCACCTGTCCAGCCGACACATTGCAACACACTCGCCCGAAGAACTCAGAAGACTTGGCCATCAAGTTGGGTTTGGGGCCCTTCGGCTTTAGCTGCACTTGCACCTACAAACACCTCTTAAGCCATTAGGCTTTAGGTTTTAGAGCTTCTCTGTTGAGAGCTACTGCACTTAGGGTTTACACGGTTTAGGGTTTAGGTTTTGGGGTCTAGGGTTCAGGGTATAGGGAAAGAATCCCTGAGAGTTTCCGCAGGGTCATGGCGACACCAGATGACAAGCTCAGGCAGGGAGCTTTGTTTGGTCCCGCGGTCGACTCGGAGGAAGCTCAGAGAACCCTTAAGTTTAGGGGCTCCTTGAAAGGGATCCTTAAAAGGGTCTAGAAGGGATCTATTGTAGGGTTCCATAACATAGGGGCCTAAATAATAACTACCTATACTAGTTTGGGGGGGTTCTTCTGATAATTGTGTTGTAATGGGCCCCAAAACCCTATTCTAATTATCAATAGAGTACTTGTTTTTTCTTCGCAGGCCCTGAGAGGGTTTCTACAGAGGTACGTTGTGGCCTAAGCACCGGGTACATAGGCACTTGGAGCACAGTAAGTTAGGGACCCCCAAAAGGACGTAAGCATAAGCTTTTTCTGGGATAGCCCTACTTTATTGTGCATCACTATGAGGGGTCTTTTTTCGAAATATCACCTGAATGTTTCCTTATATTATATACATGTTTTTGGGCCCTGTAAGACACACACAGACACACTCACACAAAGAATGTGCTATGGTGCATACACGACGAACAGGGGTGTGTAGGGCGGGTAGAAAAGCAGCCGCGCTTCATTGCACGCCATATCCTGCTTCACCGTAGAGCCCAAACCCTATAATTCTTGTAAAACCTCAACCCTGCACCCCATAATTGCCCTAGACCCTAAACTTGCTCTAAACATCATCAAACATTGTATATCCTAGAACTTCTAGCCTGCCTAAGCCAAAGACTTCCCCCAGGCTCCTGGAGTATTGCCGGAAAGGCAAGATCGAAGAAGGCCTTCCTGGAATTGTGGGCTTTCCTCCACCTTTTGGGGTGTACCTATAGTCTCCATCGTAGTTTCGTTTTTTGGTTAGCCAGTTTTATGGTTAGGATCCTATAATAGAGATTTTGATTACACAGAGACCGAAAGGAACTACAATGGAGACTATAGGTAGGGTCCCGGAGCAAAGTCTCTTCGCTTTACGACACACGGAAATACATGTTTGAGGGTGAGGTTTGAAGCCCTAAGGGTTCTTGTGCCCAAAATGCGGTGAATTATATAAATCCTGCATTAGCCATAATAAGGAATATGCCACAATTCCCGGTCATTAAGGTAATGCAGGATAAAATATCATCCACCGTAGTACATACATTGGCCTTCAAGTAGTCCCTATATGGGTACATTGGGGCCAAAGTATATGCTATTTGGGTACATGGACCCTTGGGGAAGTTTCAGGTTTTCATCTGGGTGCAGTGTTCGGGGAGGGCGAAAATAAATTGGAACGTCAGGTGTTCAAGAGAGTCGGGAAGCACCGGCAGTTTCAAGCAAGATAATCTCGGGGCCCAGGTAGTTTCCACTTTTTCTGGGCTTTCTTACTATAACTGTCCTCGTTTCAGTGCTCTGGCAGGACATTTCGCAACCCACTCCCTACCTATAGTCTCCATTGTAGTTCCGTTCTTTGGGTAACCAAAATCTCTATTTTAGGATCCTAACCATCAAACTGGTTCACCAAAAAAGGAACTACAATGGAGACTCTAGGTATGGCCTTGAGGATTTATGGTCGGTTTAGGGTTTAGGGTTTAGGGTTTAGGGTCTTGGGACCCGCAGCTTGCAGAGGTACTTGGACTTGGACCCTCTATAGCGACAGTTGAAGAGAGATGTCCGACTCCTTAAAACCCTCTGCTTCGGTTGATGATATAAATCCTGCATTACTCATAATAAGGAAGATACCATAATTCCCATAGTTTTTTGGGCCCTTAAGGTACAGTAATGCAGGGTTTATATCATCAACCGTTTGTGTCGGATCTGGGGAGCAAGCGCGTCGCACTTAAACATCAAAAACCTCTGCTTTGTGTCGGTGGCTTGCACGGAAAGGGTTTAGGGTTTAGGGTTTAGGGTTTAGGGTTTAGGGTTTAGGGTTTAGGGTTTAGGGTTTAGGAAAAGCCAGAGAAGCCCCTGAGCCCGAAGCCGTGAACCCTAAACCGGAACCCAAAACTGCCCCACTTGGAGGATCATGGCACTTGGTAAGTATGGTTATAAGTACCTTAATTGGGGTTATAAGTAAGTATAAGTATAGTTACCCTAATCATAACCTTAGTTTCTTAGTCCCATGATCCTTCAAGTAACCCTAAGACCCCTCTTATAGAACCCTTATAGATCCCTTTTAAGGGGCCCTTTAAAGTACCTCCCTAAACCCTAAACCCTGAACCCTAAACCCTAAACCCTAAACCCTACATCGCTAGCAGGCAGAACGATGCTGCAGGAATTCGCGAAGGTTGGAACAGTCGGGCCAGGACCGGTTCTTTGGGATCCGAAGACCTTACCGCTTTAAGGGTTTAGGGTTTAGGGTTTAGGGTTTTGGGTTTAGGGTTTAGGGTTTAGGGTCTTTAAGGGTTCTACCTTACAAGGAGCCCCCACCCTGTAATAGTGACTATAAGGATCATCTTAGGGCCCTATTATATTCCCAATATACCACTATGACAAGGTGGGGGCCCCTTCTAAGTTCGACCCTTTGGTTAAGGGGTCATAACCTACTGTTTTGTGGGGTTTGGGGCTACGGTGTGTACCGCAAGGGGCTTTGGGATTTGGGGCCTAGGGTTTAGGGTTTAGGGTTCAGGGCTTAGGGCTTTAGGGTTCATGGTTTATAGTTTAGGGGCTTACGGGGTCAGGGGTTCAGGGTTAAGGATACTGGATACAAGGGGTCGGGGATTTATTTACTATCGTTGTGGAGGGCCGGTGCAGGAACATCAAAGGTCTGGCTTTTCCGATTCTCTAGGTGTTGAGGATTGGAGGGTTTTAGCTTAGTGCTCTTATTGTTGTCCTCGTGATTTGGCGCAGGGTCTATGGTTTGGGGGTACAGTTTTTGGTCTAGCCCCGATATGTTCTGTCCCGAATCCCTTCCTAGATAATGGCATCTGTAGGTCATCTGCCGAGATTGGAAAGTAAGTCTGTCTACTGATGAATGCTGTGCAGAGCATGAGGGGGACAACGTTTCTATGTATGTGTACTTTCTTACGGATGCCGTTTTATGCACGCTTTAACCCTAAACACTAAAACCCTAAACCCTAGGGTTTAGGGTTTATGGTAAGTCCCCTGCCCGTGGATAGAGGCTGCCTTCGCGGATGATGTCGGAGCTTAGAAGGGTACCCAAAGGCCCCAAAGTAGTTCCTTTTGGGGGGTTCATATATAGAATCCTATAAGGCAATCCCAACAAGCTACTTTGGGGCCTCTGGGTAGTGACATGCAACTTTCCTAGAGGGTCCTGATTGCCTATATAGTAGATTGTTGGGGTTCTAAGGTAGGAGTTACGATTATGATTTGGGACAGTATGCCTCATAACAATACCTAGGGCCCTTTGGGTTTGTCATCCGACAGCCAGCCGCCATAGGAGCTTGAACCCAAAACCCTGGAACTACAACGATAATAAATCGCAAACCCACAAGCAAGACGCTGTAGAAACCGCACAGAACATGAACCCTTCAAAAACCCGAAAGTCCATGTGTTCTGTCAGTCAGGACGTGAGTATGGCCTGGACTACTGCAAGAAGCCCTACTACCGATCTGCTCTTTGGGACCCCGGCCCTAGACCGTCCTAGACGTATTGTAAAAGGGTTTTGGGTTCTAGAATTTTACGGTTCAGGGTTTTGGGGTTCAGGGTTTTAGGGTTTACTTAGGATTCAGGGGGGCTTGTCAGAGTTCTCCATGGACGGGACACAGTTCCGATAAACGGATCTATAGGGCGGACTATGCGGGGATTGCATGGCTAGGGACTTACAGGGGTTACTTGGAGGTTCATGGGTAGTTATAAGCAGGGATATAAGTAGGGCTCTTAGGGGTCATTGCTAGTTATAAGTAGGGTTATAAGTAGGGTAACTATACTTATAACCCATATTAGGGGACTTATAACCCTACTTAGAACTACCCCTGAACCTCCAAGTACGGGGTGTTCAGGCGTTCGGTCGGGGTTTTGCTTCTCCGGCTCTCTGGCTTTGTAGTTTAGGGCTCGTAACTTGTGCATTCTGGCGTTTTTGCGACCGTAAGATTCGACTTCGACCCGTCATCCCAACACGAACCAACATTCCTCCGGACGTACCATTCCTCTGAGCCCGTAGCCCGAATACGTTCAACAACGTCCCTAGATGCCAAGCACAGGCCGCATGTTCAGGAATGGGCGTTCTAGTTCGAAGCGTGTTCTAAGAGATGGCCCGCAGGAAGTCACTTGATGCGATAGTCGTCACAGGGTTCAGGATAGTCGGTGGTAGTCTGCAGGAGTAGTGAGATTCTCAAACGGGTGGTTGTCAAAATTGTGGTCCCGTTTTTGGGTATCCTAAATATTAAGTGCCGTAAGATCAATAAGGACCCACAAAGGGACCCTAAGTTTGACAACTACCCAAATGCATGTTGTTCGATTACTACGGTTTTTGGCCTTTGGGCGCCAATGCGAAGGCGCTGGCGGAAAGGGCAGGAATGTAATGCCCGGCCACTTGAAGCACACGTACCCCGACCACGTGCACATCACGATTGACGTTCGTCAGTTCATGGAAGACCCCGACAAAAGAAATAAGGGGAAGGGGTCGGCGACGGGGTCGGCGTCGGGTTCGGCGCAGGCGCGGGCGAGGTCCCTCTCGCCCGGACCTTCTCGCAAGGTCAAGGGAGACTTGGATTTTCAGGTATCAGCTGTTTCTGGTCTTTGGGAATAGGACACTGCATCAGTTCAGTTGAGGGTTCGTGGTTTAAAGTTTAATGGTTACGGATGCCTTCTAATTCAGGAACCTTACCGGTCTTAGCTGCCTATACTGGGGAGATACCTACCCAAACCATAAGGGAGTTTCCGAAAATTAGGGGAGGGTCCCCGATTTTCGGAAACTCCCATAAAAATAATTCCTACCATAGAAATTCACATATGGGCTAAAGATCCATTTTAGCAAAACTGAAACCCAACTGCTAATCTCATAGTGCGGCAGGTAGTTAGAGGTTTCTATGGGGGTTTCGGGTTTGGGGGTATATAGTTTGGTGCTTTAGAGCTTAGGGCTTTCATGAGGATTTAGGGCTTCAGGGTTTGGGGTTTAGGGTTTAGGAAATAGCTTAGAAACCGCAGCCTTGGACCTACGTCCAGCGGACACGATGCTTAGTCCCCCTAGGGTTCCCATTGCCTACAGAGCATATACTTTGGCCTTACAGTACCTATATCGGAACCCACAAAGGCCTCCTTAGTACATACTAAACCCTCATTAAACCTTCGAGAACCCTTTGTGTACCCTTAAAGGGATTCTTTAAAGGAGCCCTGCAAGGTGCAAAATAGGGGTTGTGCACGATCCACGTGCCTTGTGCCATGAACCCGGGGCCGGATTCCCGAACAAACCCTAAACCTTAAACCCCAAACCCTAAACCCCCAAAACCCCCCCGAGCCTCTGAAGCCCAAATCCCGAAACTTATAAACCATAATTTAAACCCCAAACCCCTAAACCCTAAACCCTATATATAATCCCAACCATAGTTTAAACCCCAAACCCCTAAACCCTAAACCCTATATATAATCCCAACCATAGTTTAAACCCCAAACCCCTAAACCCCTAAACCCTATAATCCCCAGGAGGCCACCTGGAAGAATCACGAGGTTCTGGTGAAGGCTCTTGCCGAAAAGGGCCTGGGACCCGGACCAGGTGACCAGGTGTCTCTTTAGGGTTTAGGGATGTGGAGTTTTAGGGTCTAGGGTTTTGGGGTTTAGTTTTAGAGTCCAGGGTTTTAGGGTTTAGGGTTTAGGGATGTTTAGGGTTTAGGGATGTTTAGGGTTTAGGGATGTTTAGGGTTTAGGGATGTTTAGGGTTTAGGGGTTTAGGGTTTAGTGTGGGGTTTAGGGGTTTTGGGGTTTTGGGGTTTAGGGTTTAGGGTTTAGGGATGTTTAGGGTTTAGTTTGAGAGTCCAGGGTTTTAGGGTTCAGTTTTAGAGTCTAGGGATGTTTAGGGTTCAGTTTTAGAGTCTAGGGTTGTAGGGTTTAGGGTTTAGTATCGGGAATGGTTTAGGGGCTAAACATATTGGGATCTTGATAATGAGAACAGGGTTGTTTGATGGGAGCGTTGTAAAAGGTTGTGCAGCAGTTTAGTGCTCACGAAATACGTTAAAGTGGACTTGAGGATATCGGCAAGTTTAAACTTAGGGTTCATTTTGTGGCTATGTCCTGAAAGTATCAGCAGAGACTCGTCAAGAAGTCCTTTGTTACTTGGCAATCCATGATAGTCGTGTTTCAACAGAGCTTGTAGCGCGAGCGACCCCTTTTAAAAATCTGAAACCTTGACGGGGCGACTCCCTTTCAAATCCCAAACCCCCAAAGCCCAAGCCCCACATCCTGAAGTCTGCACCTTGAACCCTCGCCCCCTAGCAGCTTGAGCCCGATGCCGAAACCTAACGGAAATTTGCAGCCGATACACCATTCCGGACACGATGTAAACGTCTGGCAAGTCCAAGCAGGATTGACAGACACATGAGAGCAGTAACCCTACAACCGCTTACGTAAGCTAAGGTAAGGCAATACAATCCGGTTCACCAGAGTCTATGAAACGGTATACTACATGGTACAAACTATATGGTACAAACTGTTGAATACAGAACCGTATATCCAGCTGTAACATATATAGCACGTACTGTATAGAATATATGGTCGCAGCCGCAAAGTTGGAAGATGCGCACCCAAAGTTTCAGCACCCCACAATTGGAATAAAACACATCTTCCAACTTTGGATTCTTCCAAGTTTGCAACCTTCCAACTTTTGATTACCGCATGAACCGCTCCAAATGCCGAGACCTAAAGTTGGAAGATGGGACCAAGCAGACCCAATATTTAATTGCAGTTTCTCCGTCTCTCTCTCTCTACAATACTGGACTAATTACAGTTTTCTCCCTCGGCAATGCTGGAGCGGCCATGGTATTTGCAGCTTCTCGCTTTCGGCAATATTGGAGCGGTCGTAGTAATTGTGCAACACTGGAGCGGTCATAGGAATCGCAGCTTTCTCTCTCTGCAATATTGGAGTGGTCGTAGTATTTGCAGTTTTTCTCTCTGCGCATAGTATTTGCAGCTTTTCTCTCTCTGCAATACTGCAGTGGTCGTAATACTTGCAGTTTCTCTCTCTCTCTCTCTGCAATACTGGAGCGGTCGTAGTAATTGCAGGTTCTCTTTCTCTGCAATACTGGAGCGGTCGTAGTACTTGCAGTTTCTCTCTAACTCTCTCTCTCTGCAATATTGGAGTGGTCGTCGTAATTGCCGTTTCCCTCTCTCAGCACTACTGGCGCGGTCGAAGAAATTGCGGCTTCTATCTCTGCATTATTGGAGCTGCTTCCCACAAACCGAAAGTTGGAAGATACCGTTACCGCATCAACCGGTCCAAACGCCGAGACCTAAAGTTGGAAGATGGGACCACGTCAAACCCAAAGTTGGAAGATGCCGTTGCCGCACCAACCGTTCCAATTGCCGCCTTCCAACTTTCCGGCGGCTACTGTAACACACTATGAAGCAACGATCTCTAGAAAGGCTTAACTAAGTTCATAGCATCCAATAAGCTGCAAACACAGAAGCCTTACCCTAAGGCTCTAAGGACTCATATCATAAGGCTTTTGGGCCCAAAGACCATGCTAGGCACGGTGTTTGGATTATTTTGTTGAGCTACGGCTCAAAATAGCCGAAAAGCCTACATCATACAGTCTTTTGGCCCAAAAGCCTCAGTGTATGAGTCCTCATAGAGCCTGGAGAAAGCCAGAGCAGAACTGGACAATGCAGCTGAGCTACAGGTCGGTGTATGGTGCCGTGGGCGTACACCAGGGCCGAAAACCCAGCATACGCGTCCGAGCGCTGACGTTTAGCATCGCGGAAGCCCTGGCCGAAGAGTTGGGCGGCGTTTGGAGTCAGACTGAAGACCGGATGCCGGAAGAAAAGGTTACTGCCATCACCGAAGCTCTTACTGCTGCCACTTCCGAGCCTTCGGCCTTTGGTGCAGCCTCCGGCGCAGCAAGCTCGTCTACGCAGTATGCTTGGCGAGAACGGGCTGGAGATGACTTGCTGGCGCAAGCATGTCAACAGAGACGAGAGGGATTTTTTGGGGGAGGTGGAAGTTGTCGACGCGCCTTATGTCATCGAACGGGAAGGCACCGTATCTCAGGTACAATGCACGAAAACCCAAAACACCCCATTGTAGTTCCTGTTTTGATTAGCCAAAATCTGTCGTATAGGATCCTAACCATTACACTGGTTAACCGAAAAAAGAACTACAATGGAGACTATAGGTACTATACTAGGTACACGGAGCCTTAAACTCTTAGCCTTCTAGAGCCATGCTTGTACCCTTAAGCGAACCCTTAAAGTAATGTTTAGAAGACGACTCCCTAAACCCTAAACCCTAAACCCTAAAACCCTAAAACCCTAAACCCCTAAACCCCTAAAGCCCTAAAGCCCTAAACCCCTAAACCCCTAAACCCTAAACCCCTAAAACCCTAAACCCCCAAACCCCTAAAACCCTAAAACCCTAAACCTCTAAACCCCTAACCCCTAAACCCCTAAACCCTAAACCCCTAAACCCCTAAAACCCTAAAACTTAAGCCCCTAAACCCCTAAACCCCTCAAACCCTCGAAACCCTAAACCTGCTCGAGGTGCAACCCTCGACTTCGCCGACTACCAGGGTCGAACACCGCTTCACGAGGTCCGCCGTCCATCATTTTTTTCTGGTCTAGGCGGTTTGGGGTTTAGGGTTTAGGGGTGGTTTGGGGTTTAGGGTTTAGGGGTGGTTAGGGTTTGGGGTTTAGGGTGGGTCTAGGGCCGTTCCTCAGGGGGTTGTGTGTTTTGAAAGGAGCTAATAATGGGTTTGTTCAGGGTTTCAATTTGGGGTTGAACGCAAGTTCTACAGAGCTGATAGAAATTTATGGGACTTTGCATACGTCTTCTACGACAATTCCCGGAGACGAAGTCAGGCGGAAGCCATTACAGAAACCCATGTACTGTTAAGCGTTTAGGGTTAAGGGTTTAGGGGTTTATGGCTCAGGGCTTTTATATAAAGATATGTTGCCCTGTCCTTCTGCGTATCCTGTCATGCTACGGTAGCCCAAACCCGGATTTCCAAAACCTTGAAAAATCCAATTTAGTAAGCCCTGTAAAGCCTAAGCCCTAGCCCCATAAACCTTTTTACCCTAAAACCCTGAAAAACATGAATCCTAAGCCCTCATACAAATACAGGCGGCATACTATGGGTACCAGAACCTCGTTGAGTTCTTCCTCGACAAGGCCCCAACAGTGTCGGTGATGTCGTACAAGGATAGGGTTTGTGGTAGTAGTGGGGGTTTGGGGGTTAAGGGTCTGAGTGGCGTTTGACGGTTTTGGAGGTTAGGGTTTAGTCCTGCAGGGGGCTGGAGCGGGAGGGAGGTTAGAGGATTGTAGTGTCTGGGGATAGGCTAGGGTTTCTGGATGCGTCTTGATTACAAAGCATTCGTCGCAAGAAGCCTTACCTGAAGGCTCTAAGGACTCATATATTAAGCTTTTTGGGCCCGAAGACCGTGCTGTATAAGGCTTTTGAGCTATTGTGAGTCTTAGCCTTACAAGACCTGAAGCCGTAAACGCTAGAAGCCCCTGCAGCAATTAGCCGAACAGCCTGCCGCATTAACACCCTATCAAACCCTGCGCAACCTTGCAAAACTGCCTTTTTGAGCCATATTCTGAAATAGCTCCGCGAAATCGTATCAAGTCCGTGTCAACACTCGAAACCTGTAAACCCTGTAGAACTTTCAGCACCTTGTATAACCCTGCGAAGCCGTACGAAAACCTTTCACCCCAGTAAGACTGTTGACCCTTACGTATATAACCCTGCAGAACCCCATCACAACCTCAAAAACACCGTCAAACAAAGCTAGGAACCCCAATGAACGACCATGTCAAACCTGGCTCAAACCCTGCAAAAAGCATGTAAATCCGAAACCCGAGCTGTTATCAAAGCCGAGGGGCATCCTATCGATCCGTTGGACAACTTCGGGCAGTCGCCCGGCGGAGTAAGATTAGGAGCTTACATGGTTTGGGGATTAGGGTTCATGGTTTAGAGATGAGGTTTATGCCTGGGTTTCGAGTTCTGAGGGTTTAGGGATGTTGGGTCATGCTTACGATTCGAGCTATAAGAGCTCAGGGATGAGGTTTAGTATGCTTGGGATTCGAGTTATGAGGGTTTAGGGATGAGGGTTATGCTTAGGATTCGAGGTATAAGGGTTGGGTCATGCTAAGGATTCGGATTTACGGGTGTTTTGTGAGGGGTTCAGGTCTAGTTTTGCGGCTCATGGATTAGAGTTAATTTTTCTTAGGTGCAGGATTCGGCCAAAAGGCTCGGGGTGTAGGTCTTGATTAGCTTTGTTGGTTTGTGGTGTGGGGTTCAAGGTCCGGGGACCGGTATGCAGCTTGAACTGCAGATGATCACCTACGATGAGTACGTATGCTGTGAAGCACCTCGTGGCTGACATATGCAATATTGATGGTGATGACACGGACCAGTCGGTCCACTCGCTGGGGGAGTTCGTGCAGGGGATCTTAAACACAATGGTTGGGCTACTGCCAGTGAGCTTTGACGCGCTGGTCGAGATGTTCAGCGGGCAGCATTCGATTCCCATTGGCATTGTTCAGGCGAGAAGATGCTTCAGGCACGCGACGTTTTTCGGAGAATGACTTGGGTACGGCCCCCACTCAGTAATAGTTGAATAATGTTCATAATATAGATATAATAGGACATTAATAGTAGTCCGATTATAGATTATGACTGTATAGGGGCAGTACCTAAAGGATGACATTTAGTTACCTTTGATGGAGGCCGTCGCCTCGGCGAGGCCATGTCGTCACCGGAGGATCGGTTGATAGCTCTGCCATCGTTTGGGTTTGTCATAGGCATCATAGGGCGTATCGGGAGCTGTAAGACCCAAAGTTCCTTGGGCTCGATGCCGGAAGTGCTGAAGGCGTTGGGCGTTTTGAGCTTTCAAGGTTGTGTGGTAGGGTTGAGAGTTGAGAGTTTGAGGTGCTTCATCCTTATCGGGTAAAGTCTTTGCAGATCATACCCCAAGGTGCAAAGGACCCAATAATCAGGTACTTGGGTTTAGGACAGTAGTTATGTTGGTCAATATTTGGGAGAGTATATGATTAATGGGTACTTGGACCCTTAGGGACAATTAATTATGGGCCTGAAGAACGAGTAACATAATCGTTGAGGGTTTCCTCATCTACTCGTAGTATACTTTCCCTGCAACCCCACTATCAATTACTCTACTCAGGTCCCTGCACTCTAGAGGCCTGGACGCCAAGACATGCATCCCTTGTAGCGCCCTCACAGCAACGTTTCAGGCCCCCAGCTCAACTGTGCCCAAAAACTTACAAGATAGCCCTGCAAACACTCTTACAAGGACCTCGCAAACAATTTAATAACATCCTTCCGCAGCAATGGGTGCTGAGGACACCGCTCTTCCGCGCTGCGGACGCAGGGCGCTACGAGGCTCTATGTGGTGAGGGGGAGGGGAGGGGGGGGCAAGCTTTGGGGTTTGGCAGTTGAGGGCTCAGGGCTGAGGGTTTGTGGTTAAGCCAAAGGGTCCAAAGTACCTTTGCAGTAGAATGTAGGGTTTCTGTATTGGGGATTATGATTATGATTTGGGGAAGTATCCCCCATAACGGTACATAGAACCCTTTGATTAAGGATAAGTCGGATCTTGCGGCGCCGTCACTTGAAACAACGGACCTGCCTGCCACTGAGCAATGCAAGCCAAGGTACTGGGGTTTAGGGTCTTAGGGCTTGGGGAAGTTTGGGGCCTAGAAGTGGTGGTTTAGTTAGGGTTTAGGGGACTCGACTTGAAAGGTTTTTGGGTGGGTTTAAGATTTAGGCTACGACGTGATGCTGCACTACAGCAGTGATGCAGAAGGTTGTGTGTTTAGGGTTTTTGGCGTGTGGTTGAAGATTGAGGTTTCAGGGATCGGTTTTCGGTTCAGGATTCACGGTGTGCTTTGAGAATTGTTGAGGGTTTGCGGTTCATAGCATTCAGGCTAGGGCCAAAACCTGAAGGTTTAGGGCTTTGAGCTTTGGATAAGGTTTATAGAGGGTTTAACGAAGCACTTTCATTGGTGGTCCTAACTGCGGCTTCAGGCGCTTCCACGGCACTAGAGTAGGAGCTACCAGCTGAGCTCACGCTCATGAGGCCGATGTTGTTCCGGAACCCTTGTTATGTCCAAACAGAGAACACCTGGCCTCGAAATCAGCGGTCGACATTGCTTAAGGTTGTTGTACCGGGCATGCTAGAGAAAATCCGATGAAGCTTTTGTGTTGAAGTTGCGTTCCCCAATTGGTTCAAGCCCGAGAACCTTTAGCTGCAAAGCCGTAGTCCAGCGGAGTCCAGCCCACCCATAGTCCTAAACCCGAGCACAACACCAGATCGTGGAGCTTCTCGTGAAGAGGGGTGCTCAGACCAATCTGCTCGACAGGCCAGCGATGTTGTGACTTTTCAGGGGCTGAAGCCTGGGTTTGCAGCACATAGTTTCACGGTTGAAGGTGATGTTCCACACAAGGGTTGTATTGAGTCTATCCAACAGGGTGCTAGCCCGTTTGGGGCTACGAATGTGCGAAGAAAGTTGCTTTCAACCGCCTGGTATGCTTCGAGGCTGTCTATTTTGTCGAGTGGTACTGGATACCGCTGGTGCTTGCCCGGATGTATTTTCTGATGAGCTCAGGGTGAACCCACCGGAACCTAGTGTGTACCGGACTTTCGGCAGGGTTCTTTAGGCTCCTTGACTTTGCCACAATTGGCAGGCTATGTTTTTGGAAGGGGGGAGGGGCAGGGTGCTCGTCACAGGCAAACCACCAAAACCCTCTACTAAATCCTTAAACCCTAATTACCTTGTATGCATCCTAGTGGACAGCCTCGCATCCTGGTCTCCCCTTCCCTTGAAGGCAACACCCCCAAAACCTAAATCCTAAACCGAAACCCTAAACTCCAAAGCCTGAAGCCTAAGCCGATACCCTGAACCCTAAACCCTAAACCCTAAATCCTACCCTGAAGCCTGAGCCCAAAGCGAAACTCCAGCGTCGCGCCAGTGACGGTGTGACCGTCCAACATTGCGCCGGGCGCCCCGAGATTTGATCTTCCTAGGGTTCCTTAAAGGGATCTATAAGGGTTCTACTTAAAGGGTTTCGGGTTTGGGAGTTTCCGAACATTAGGAGTAATTACCTTATTTGGGGGGTCCGTATAAAAAGGATCCTACTATGTAGGGTACTATATTCGGGGCCCCTATTGTCGGAAACCCCCATGTGGTTTAGGGTGCGTTTAATCGTTGGGATCAAAAGACCCGTACAAGGCAGGGACCCTATACCGTACCATCCGTACCTTGACATTGAATCTCGGTGATGTAATACTCATTCATCATAACTGAGCCTTAAACCCTTTCAGGGTACATTTCGTCCTTAAGGAAGGGTACAACGTACCTTGTAACTCTGGAATTGGGCGTTTCAAGGCTTGGGGCCATCAATTAAGCTTTCAAGCGAGTTGCTGAGGACTCAGGGCTTTTGCCATTGTTCTTGTGAAGGATCTTGCTGTTAGTCTTCTGCTTCTACGGCTGCCACCAGCATTTATGCTACCACCCCTCCTGCTCCTACTACTGCTAACTCCACTACGGCCACGCCTGCGGCCGCTGCGACGACGACTGCTGCTACCACTGTTGCTAAGATGACGACTATTACCACTGCTACTCTGCTGCTTCCGACAAGAGTTCCTACGCAACTCACATCAGCCCCTTTGGGGCCCCAGAGGGCGCAAACATCATAAAACTTGTGGCGGGCTGAGTCTTAGGCTTTAGGATTTAGTGTTGAGGGTTTAGTGAAAGTTTAGTGTTTATCAGACCGCTGCATTGGCTATGGAGTTCAGCTCACGGTAGCCTGATTGCCTGGGATTTGGGAGTTTCCGACAATTAGGGGCACCTCATTTTGGGGTCCTTATAATAAGGACCTACTATTTAGTGTACTCTATCAGGGCCCCCTATGTTCTTTCGAGCTTGGGGCATCGGGAGTTCGGGCTTACCCAAAGGGTCCATGTACCCATATAGTATATACTTAAGCCTTAAAGTACCTACATAGGGACCCCTTTAAGGCTTAAGTATCTACGATAATGGTACATGGAGCCTTTGGGCTTCGATAGAGCGATACTTAAAGGATCATGGGACTTAGTAGCTGTCGGACTCTTTAAAGGGCTCCTTAAAAGGGATCTATACGGGTTCTATAAGAGGGGTCTTAGGGTTACTTAAAGGATCATGGGACTTAGTAACTAAGGTTAATATTTAGGGTAACTGTGCTTATAACTACTTATAACCCCAATTAAGGTACTTATAACCTTACTTCCTAAGTCCCATGATCCTCCAAGTAGACCTTGCGAGATCTTCAGTCTGATCCTAAAGTCCTACCTGTAGTCTCCATTATAGTTCCTTTTGTTGGTTAACCAAAATCTCTGCTATAGGATCCTAATCATTAAACTGGTTCACCCAAAAAAGGAACTATAATGGAGACTATAGGTAAAGTCCTAAACCATAGCTTCTCCATGCTCATGTGACCGGCGATCTGCAGCAAGGCCTTCTGCCTCTCGCGGCCCAACGTTGAACCTGTTCAGCCTGAATCTGAAGACCTTACCTAGGATGCCCAGTAGTACCCTTTTTCCCTTTTTGTAGTCCTAGGTTCCTTAAAAAGTTACCCAATACCAAAAAGGGAGCCCTTGTTATTCCTAGGTTACTGGGCATCCCAGTTACAGTGTCGAATTCACCTCTTTCTTGGCTCTGGCCACAAAAAAGAACCTTGGCAAGAAAGCCAACCACTCCCCGCAAGGACAAACATGCCCGTTTCACACCACAAAGCAGTTTCGCACCCAACTCTACAGAGGAGTTCCGGAAAAATGAAGGACCCTCATATAGACCTACAACAGTACCAGATAGTATAGGAAACTCATTAAAAGTGCCCCTGAAGAGTACAGCTGTTTTCCAGAAGCCCACAACAAGCAAGCACCAAGCCCTAGCACTAGCAGTCGTCACCCCCAAACCCTGAACCCCAAACTCCAGCAACAAGATTCGATTATTTTTGCTGAGGCGCTTTAATTGGAAATCCTCGCCCCCCAGAGCCTCCAAAACCCCTTAATTTTTAGGAATATACCTTAAATCATATAAGGGATCCTATTATACTTTAAGGTATATTCCTTAATTAAGGGGTTTTGGAGGCTCTGGGCCCTCAGCCACAAGCCCAGAGATGACACATCTCCAGTCAGCCAATCGAAACGGTAAACACTAAACCCTAAACCCGAAACCCCTAAGCCCCCTAAACCCTAAACCCCTAAACCCGAAACCCCTAAACCCCTAAACCCAAGGCCAACTTCCATGGCATGCCTGACATGAGCGAATGGCTGCTCTACCACGGTGCCTCTCTTGCAAGGAGTCAAGGAAGCCGTTTTGTTTTCGGGGTTTAGAGTTTGGGCGGTTCAGGGTTTAGGCTTTAGGGTTTGTGGAGGCTTTTCGAGTTTAGGACCACGGTCTATGGGGTGTGATCAGTATTTGGGAAGGGTTAAGGGAGCGCAGCTTTGACAAATTTGTGTTAGGCCGAGAGACTCCCAAACCCCTTAATTAAGGAATATACCTTAAATCATATAAGGGATCCTATTATACTTTATGGTATATTCCTTAATTAAGGGGTTTTGGAGGCTCTGGGGGGCGGCCTTTCTTCGGAATCCCAGCGCGGCTGCATCAGTCATGCAGACCCCAGAGACTCCAATACCCCTTAGTTAAGGAGCATACCTTAAATTATAGAAGGACCCACAATATGATTTACAGAATACTTCCCTAATTAAGGTGTATTGGAGTCTCTGGGACTCAGTGCTCGGTTTCAGTAGAAGCCAGAAAGTTGGAGTATCATTATCGTAACCCCTTTATTAATCCATATTCCAACTTTCTGGAGTTCCCTTTAGGGGCATACGAGTACATGGCGCCCTCAATGTCATGTTGGTGCCGTTCGTAATACCCCGCACAGAAGCCCTACACCATAAAACTTGCGAGATGAACCCTTAAAGGAGCCGGGGCCCCTTTAAGGCCTAAGTACCTATTATATGGGTACATGGAGCCTTTGGGAGTATCAAGAGCTTCTTGAAAAGAGCCCTTAAAGGAACCCTCAACTATCCCTGGGCATCAAAATAGCCCAAAAGCCTTGTATAGTGTGGTCTTTGGGCCCAAAAGCCTTGATATATGAGTCCTTAGATGCCTAGGGTATGGGGCCTATCAAGAAGGGCACAGAGACGAGAGCTGAGAGAGCTCCGAATGAAAGAGTTCCAGACTCCACTTCCATCGGGAGGTGCCTGGAAGAATCGCTTCTACATCAAGGAGGCAACAGGGTTTACCTGTACAGTAGAAGCCCAATAGTTGGAAACCCCAGAGCCTCCATCCTTAAGAGCAATATATAAGGAATCCCAGCGCTATTTGGCCTTAATCCAGTTTCCAACTTTAGGGGTTACCTGTAGCCGAAAAAACCTACCCTTTTTAGGGATACTTATGCCGGTTCCTATTTTTTGTTCCTTAAAAAGGTAGGTCTTTTGGGCCACCGGTAGGGCTTGGGGTTTAGGGCTTAGGGGGTTTGGTTTTGGGGGTTTAGGAATTAGGCTAGGATGCCCAGTAGTACCCTTATTCCCTTTTTCTAGTCCTAGGTTCCTTTTAAAGTTGCCCAATTCCCAAAAAGGGAGCCCGTTTTATTCCTAGGTGACTGGGCATCCTAGTATAGCTACTTATAGCCCCAATTATTCCCATGATCCTCCCAGTAGACCCTAAACCCCTTATACATCCCATTATTAGGATTCAGCGGGAGATCGGGTCGGTCGAAAGTGTTGGATGTTCGAACCGGGGGTTTTGGAGCACCCTCATGGAATGCAGGTGGAGTTTGCTTTATAGGTAGATAGTTCCTTTTTTCGGTTAACAAGTTTTATGGTTAGGATCCTATAATAGAAATTTTGGGTAACCAAAAAAGGAACTAAAATGGAGACTTTAGGTGGCAATTTGGGAAACTTTTGAATTTCCCACTATGGCTCCTATAGAGGTACCTATTCATAAATACTCTTCGGAGCCCCAAAACCACAACCCAGCTTTAGTCTCCATTTTAGTTCCTTTTTTGGTTACCCAAAATTTCTATTATAGGATCCTAACCATAAAACTTGTTAACCAAAAAAAGAATTGCAATGGAGACTATAGGTACTGTTCCATCGATTTGAATCCCCAAACACAAATTCCAGTCCCTAGAACGCCGCGACCTGATTGAGCAACCTTTGCACCGTCAATCCGCCATCAAGTTTAGGGTTTAGGGTTTAGGGATCACGCTACGGGTCCAAGTGTCTTTTGCTATCTTGGCCAGCTGACCTGCATTTCTACTATCCGAAACTGTGCTAAGCTCCAATGCCCATAGCTAGTTACTAAGTTGTTAATTACAGTAAGTATTGTGGACCCTTAGTGGAAGACCCTAAACCCTAAACCAGTGAAAGCCCCTGTTGTCACAAGCCGGGGCAGTCGAAGCCTCAATCGCCCAAGCTTCCTGCAGAAGAGCTGTACCGAGAGACTCCAAAACCCCTTAATTTGAAACGCTGCGCGTCGTCCGCCTCGGCCCGGCTGTACGCGCCTGGGGTTAGGCTGTAGGATTAGGAATTCAGGTTTGAAACTACCTTGGTACTGCAGCCTTACAAGCGAGCCCCAATTTTTCAGGCTGGGATTAGGGTGTAGGGTTAGGAGTTCAGGTTTGAAACTCCCTTGGTACTGCAGCCTTAAAGGCGCGCCCCAAGAGATAAACATGCTACATTACAGTCCGGTGTCGTCGGAAATTCCCAGAAAGCTCGCACCTGTCAGCGAGGGGGGAGGGGCGGGAGGGTGGGAGGAGGGGAGGCGGGGGGGAAGGGCGGGGGAGAGGGGCCCCTATTTACGAATATTTTTCAGAGGCTTTAAGGGGCCAAGCTAGCTTAGGATCCGAAGACCTACCGATTTAAGGGTTCCCAGAGCCTCCAAAACCCCTTAATTAAGGAATATACATTCAATTAAAATAGGATCCCTTATATGATTATATGATTTAAGGTATATTCCTTAGTTAAGGGCCGGGGTTTTGGAGTCTCTGGGTAAGGGGTCATAACCTACCATTTTGTAGGGTTTGGGGATACAGGTATAGCCATAGAGCTACGGTTTAGGGTTTAGTGCTTAAGAACCTAATAAAACATGTCTCGCTGTACAGCCCTCACGAATCTACATTCAACCCGTGTGAATCGCAAGCCTGCCGTCGGCCTGTGTCAGTCCCTACCTTTAGGTTCCATGGCAATTCGCTTCTAATCTAGGAACCTGATTAAGGAACGCTGGGCCTATAACCCCCCCCAAAAGAATGGTAGGGTTCATAAAGGGAACCTTCACAAAGACCCAGGTTTTTTTTAATCAGGTTCCTAGCCTACCTTCTAGGACCTGGAAGATAAATGACGCTTGTTAAACTGTACAAAAGGAACGACAATGGAGACTATGGGTAAACCCTCATGATCTAATGCCCTAAACCCCTAAACCCGAAACCCCTCGACCCTGAACCTCAAGCCCCAGGAGGTGAAGCTGGATCCAGCTGCGCCCGGCCCTTTTGGTTGAAAGCTGTCATCGTCCAGACGCCAGCTGATCTAGGGTTAAATGTTGGGGATTTGAGGGTTTCCAGTTGAGGATATCGTTTTTTTTTGGAGTTTGTATCGGGTTTCCGGTTCATGGTTTAGGTCAGAAGTGTAAAGGGTTTAGGGTTTATAGGGCTTCGGTCAGAAGTGCAAGTCTGCGTGTCCATGTCACCTGCGGCTCCGAAGGGGTATGAAGCTCAAGTCGAAAAGCGACCGGCTTCCGTAGGAAAGTTCCCGACACATCCATCTAGGCTTTGAGCCCGGCAGCCCCTTTACACCCGAACTGTCAACCCCCTTAAGCCCTCCCCAAAAACTAAGTCACAGAGATCCCCAAGCCCCTAAAACTCGACGACAATCCTTACAACTTGAACTTATTAAAGCACTTAAACCATATAAGCCTTACCAACCTAAGCTTTGAATTCTCGATGCGGGATCCGGAAGCCTTCTTCGTCATTATGTCCCCCAGAATTGCCACTTCTAGCATGGAAGGGTTTCGGGATGTTCCGGGGGTTCTCTTTCAGTTCGAAGGAATGGTTGATGATTTAATTATAGTGCATGGGCTGCATGGGCACTGGGTCTAGCAGCCCTGACCTCCTAAGTCTGGGTGAGTGTCTGGGTGAGTGTATCCTTATGGGAGCCATGTCGCTGAATGACCCGCGGTCTGCCCCGCGATTCGGGAGCGAAATGTCACCAAGTGCCGTGGAGACATGCCCGCAGAGAACCAATTATTTCAGGGGTTGGGCTTTGATGCGTTCTGGGCTATAGTATGGTACAATAACAACAATTACACAAGCAACAATCATATCAACAATAGCAGAAACAATAGCGGCAGCATGAATGAATGATAGTAAGAGTGCCTGCTGGGCTTACTGTTTCCGACATTTCCCAGAGTCTCCATTGTAGTCCCTTTTTTGGTTAAACAGTTCATGGTTAGGAACCTATAAAATAATGTAAACTTGGTTTAACCAAAAGGAACTACAATGGAGACTGTGGGTAAACCCTAAACCCCTAAAGCCCTAAAGCCTTAACCCGTAAACCTCTAAACCCTAAACCCCTGAACCCCTAAAACCCCTAAACCCTAAACCCGATTCCGAGAGTAGGTTGTGCGGTTTGGGTCAGTGAGAGCTTTAGCTGCCAGGCACTGCCAGGGCTTTCCAGGCAGCATGTCGGGGCCAGGTCTTTGGAATGCAAGGTTTAGGGTTGAGGGTTTCAAGTTAGGGACTTACAAAAGCACATAAGCATAAGGAATTTACAGGGGTGTCCGGTGTCCCTATCCTAAATGTTGCTGACGTGTGAGGCAGGTCGCGCTTGCGTCCCTCCCTCCCCCTCTCTCTTCCTCGCTCTCTCTCTCTTTCTCTCTCTCTCTCTCTCTCTCTCTCTCTCTCTCTCTCTCTCTCTCTCTCTCTCTCTCTCTCTCTCTCTCTCTCTCTCTGCGCCTAATCCTAGACTCTAAACATACAGCACGCCAGTGGACAATCCCAGAGGAGGTGTATCCAGGTGACGCATACACGTACCGACACATTCTGGCTTCTGCCTCCCAGCCTCGCACGCAGTATTTTTCTTCGCTTAAATATGTTTTAATCGGTTTTATCATGCATTGTCAAGCGGGGCGCTGCTCAAGATAGTGTTTGTAAGCTGGATGGACTGCGGCTAGAGTTCCCAGCTGAGACTTTTTTTACGTGTTTTCGTCCTGACGAAATAAAGCTTTCAGATTGCAGCCCCATACTTCAGTCCGGTGGGTTTCCCTCAAAGGTATCCCTATCTACCCAATTTCTTGGTAGTAGGTTCTGTTCGCATAGGAGTCTCAGGATGTAGCACAAGTTACCCCGAGAACTAGCCGACTGTCACCATCCGCCGATGAAGCTCCAAGAACAGTGCAGCACAGACTCCATCCCGATTCAGGGCTTACCTATAGTCTCCATTGTAGTTCCTTTTTTTGGTTAACCAGAATCTCTATTATAGGATCCGAACCACAAAACTGGTTAACCAAAAAAGGAACTACAATGGAGACTGTAGGTAGTGTGTAAGGGTCACTCCAACCTTGCGAGGATACCTGAAAATAGCTGAATCCGGTTCTTCCTGCGCACCGTCGAAGCCAGTGTTTGAGGTGACTTTAGGCAAAGTTTATTTCGCACGACAGCAACTGGAGTGCGCTCTCGTGAATCGTTTGGGCCCATTTTTAGTAACAGGATGTATTTCTGATTCCGGCAGGCCATGTAGCTAGCATGTATCCAGGGTTGAGGCCAGAAGGAGTGAAGGGTTTAAATTTACTGGTAGTCGATTCCTAAGAAAAGAAGACCTTGGCGCGAAGAGTTTTGGGATTAGGGCCTACAGGGTTTCGAAACCCTTATATAACCCTAAACCCCAAACCCTAAACCCTAAACCCTAAACCCCAAACCCTAGAAGAAGAAGCTTGTGAGGCCCGCTACTCCGACCTGCCGTCGCCGAGCAGCGTTACGTTTCGAGGAGCAGATGGGAGAGTTATGCGCCGCTGGCTCAGAGTCCGCCTACCTGAAGGACCAAATGACCCTTAAAAGTAGGGGCTCTATACCCATATACTAAGAATCTCCATATGGTATATGAACCTTAAACCCTTTTAGGGTACATTTTGTCCTTAAGGTAAGCATTGCTGGAGCTCGAGGGTTTAGGTTTGAAAAAAGTAGGCTGCAGGGTGTACCTCGCTTTGTCTGCAGACAGTAGGTATAGTATGGAGGGTGGGGAGGCATCCATGTTTAGGTGGACTTTGTAGGTCGATTTGCGGATGTTGGGAATCTGTTGAGGATTCAGTGTTTGCGGGCCCCCAAAATTCAAAGAGCTGGAATGCTGCGCCGTGACAGAAGGCCGATAAAGCAGATTTTGGGGTGTATATAGGGTATGGAGCTCGGGTATGAGGATTGATTTCAACTCTACCTTCCCGGCGGTCTTACTGTCAAGCGGCTCGGGGGTTCAGCTTTCAATCTTTTGGGTTCAGGGCCGTTTACGGTTTAGGTTTCCGCGGGTTTAGAACGGGCCCTGCGTAGTGTTTTTTATCTTTTTTGGGTCGGGCCCTAGACACTGATGGTGACCACATGGGTTATTAGGTAGCAAAGTAGGCAAGCCTGCAGTCCAACTATGCCAAGACTATTGCGTGCGAGACTAACGCAGTTATGTAACATGTTCTCGGCTGTTAGTCAAATACAATAGAAAAGTCTTACTTGTTGAGGGGGGCCGCTTATCCTGAAAAAACACGTAGTGCAAAGGGTTGGGTGTTTAGACCCTATTGCCTTTTTCTCAATATCTCGACTGCGAACTTCAACGACGAACTCTTCAAGGCCCAAACCATACCTATAGTCTCCATTGTAGTCCCTTTCTTTGGTTTACCAGTTTTATGGTTAGGATCCTATAATAAAGATTTGGTTGACCAAAAAAAAGAACTACAATGGAGACTCCAAAGCCTTGAAATCCTCAAAACTCAAAGCATTGCAGGCTTCCACCCCTCTACGCCCGTTGCGGGGGCATCCAGTCCCATGCTTGCGCGGCCGGTGGAGACTCTGCCTGACACGGCTCAAACCAACGTGCATGGATGGTGTGAGACTACTGCTGCTGCACTGCTAGTGATGCTGCTGACACTGCTGATGTTGCCATTACTACCACTGCTCATGGCCATCAATAGCGACATCAGGTATATAATGAGTCCTATCAGATGTGACCATACTGCCACCATGAACGCTGGTGATGATGAAAGTACAACGTGGATGACGTTGGTGCTGATAACTTTTGATACTGGTGACGACGGCGGCTGGGATGAGGATGCCGATGATGGTGACAATGATTTCGATAATTATGATGATGATGATGCAAAAAGCGACCAGTCTACATGTAGGCTTGCCCAGTTTAGATTTCCAGTATAGTGTTTGTGATTATGGCATGTGAGGCTGACTGTAGGAGTCTCCTGAGTAGGCAAGGTGTTGCACCGCGGGCGCATTAGGATGTCAGACTTCTAGGACCTAGAGTAGGCCCTTATTCCCTTATTTAGGGTTCAGGTTCCCTTATAAGCCCCTTAAACTAAAAGGGGCACCCTTTTTATTCCTAGGTTACTCTTGGGTCTAGACTTCTTTCTTCCCATTTCAGGCTGTTGTCTCATGCACCCTGAGCCCTGAGCCTTAAACCCTAAATCCCTAAACCCAAAACAAACCGTAAACCCTAAACCCCTAAATTAAAACCCAAAAGCCCAGACTTGAGCCCTCCAGATTCATCCCTGATTCATGGCTTCAGGACTGCTGTGGTCAGCTCGAGACACCTAATGTATTAAGAAGCCCTGGGCCTGTAACCCCAGAATAGTAGGATTCATATAAGGAACCCTAATCAAGGCCCCAAGGTTTCTTAATCAGGTTCCTACATTAAACCACTAAACTCCATCTCCAAGCAGCGAAGCTCTGGACGCGAAAACCGTTCTACTGAGGATTTGAGACGGCCACTGATGATCGATACCGCGACCCTTTGAAAGCAACAGAGAGGGAGGTCGCGTGTCGAGGGCTTTTCTATGTTAGATCAGAGTGCTTATAAGGCTTTTTTTCATATGAGCTCGTTTCAGGACTCTACAACGGTTCTTATATTGGTTCCATGATGGTTCCTAGAAGGTTTCTACAAGGGTTCAGGCTCCGGGTTCCGATGCCTCTGGTTCGAATGTAGGGCCTCTATAAGGGTTACCCCTCGAAGATTTTGGGTATGGCGGCTACTCGGAAAAGTTCGCGTTGAGGATGGGGGCTCTGACTATACGGTCGGCGAGTGTATTTCGGGCTGCTCCTAAACACTTGTGCGTGTGTGCCGTTGGTTTTATTACTGGGTATTTGCGTTTCATCGAGAGCAACTGCAACCGCCAGTTAAGTAGGTTATTTTGTTTAGGATGAATTTGGGGGGTTACAGTAGGCTGCTGGGGCTCTGATTTTGTGTTTGCCGCCAAGGTTTGTGGGTGTCGAGTTTTC